CAACAATAAAGATATGACAAGGAAAATACTAACAGCTTTGATAACTAATGTTTTAGCTAGTGAATTCAATTTCATGGAACATGGAGAAAAACATGCCTTTTCAGTCTTTATGATAAAAAAAATTGTCAATGGCAATTATGAAACTTACATTTTTTACATTTTTTATGCAATTTCAAGAAATGCCTAATGCATAATTTTTTATACCATTTTTTATAAATTTAAATATATGCATAATACCTTAATTTCTGTTTCAGCCTCCAAAACTTTATAGACCTTCCTACGCCAGTGTCTAGATGTATTAAAGTTTTAAATAAAATGACTGTTTTATATTGATATAATGTTTTATATTGCAATGACTGTTTTATATTGATTGCTTGTTTAACTAATTTTTGATAGTTATGGCGAAAAACTATACTTGTTAAATTTAATTAAAAATTTAATGAAATTCATTATAATTTTAAATTTTCTTTTGTTTCATTAGATGCAGTTTGACTCAATCCATTGACAAAAAAAACTACAGCTGCTGAAGTAGAAGACGTAGTGAAGGAATGGCTTCAAAACGCAAAAGATAGTAGCCAAGATCGCGCAAAGCGGGGAAGATTAGAGTTGAACGACAAAGTTGCAAATAACATAGAAGACAAATAAAAAAAATTTGCCACAATTGCAATAATGCAAAAAAATATTATCTTGGCTATATGAATATTTTTTTAATTCCATTTTTTAATAGTATTTAATATATATATATATATATATATATATATATATATATATATATATATATATATATATATATATATATATATATATATATATATATATATACAGGGCCGGCGCGAGTAGGTGTCACGTGGGGGGTGCCATTACAACTTTTGCCGACAAAAAAAAAAAAAGGTCCTCGTTTTCCAAAATTTGCCGACTGCCATGACGACATTTGCCGACTGTCTAACCTATATCGAAAGGGTCGACATTTGCCGACTAACTAGTCTAAAAGGGTCCAATTTGCCGACTAAAAATCATTGATGGGGGGTGTCCCACCCCCCACACACCCCTATCGCGCCGGCCTTATATATATATATATATATATATATATATATATATATATATATATATATATATGTATATGTATATATATTTTATATATATATATATATATATATATATATTTGCCGTTTAATATTACAATAACTGAATATATTTTACAATTTTTACATTAGTAACGACAGGACTTCTAGAAGATCACGAGGATCTTGTCAGAAGCCCTTTATAATATATAGTTAATTTTTAATAAAAATACAATGTCTGTAGTGAAATAATAATGACACACTTTTATGCAAAAATATTTAAAAACCAAGATAAAATGTTAAAAAGCCAAGATAAAATGTTAAACTAAATAATATACAAAATAAAACAACAACAACAACAAAAAAAGCAATTAAAAATAAATCAAGATATTTCCATTGAAAATATAATTTTTTTAAGTTTCTGTGTAAATGAAGCAAAAGTCAGTTGGGTGGAAAAATCAAAATTTGGTAAGACTATTATGTTTTAGAGATAAGGACCTCGATTAGAAACAAAAAACTGGTCTTTGCTTTTACGACAAAAAGGGGCAATAAGATTGTTATTATTTCGAAGATTATATTTGTTTTTAGGTTTCATACAATAAAGATTTTGTAATACATATTATTTTGTAATACATACTATTGCACTCACAGAACAAAGCTAAATAGCTTTGTTCTGTGAGTGCTTCCCCATATGAGGTTAGCGTAGTTTATATGACAATGTATAAATGAATAATATAATTGTGTTATCTGGTATTTATTTAATATATTTCTTGCTTTATAGAGAATTCCGATGCATTTAGCAATTTTATTGGAGGTATTATTAATATGATTTCTCCAAGATAGATTTTCATCAATATATACTCCGCGAAATTTAGCAACTTTTTCTCTTTTTTATTATTATATTATCAATTAAAAGGTCTGACATGATGTGGGGCAGTTCTGGCAGTTATTGTGCATATATATATATATATATATATATATATATATATATATATATATATATATATATATATATATATATATATATATATATATATATATATATATATATATATATATATATATGCACAATATTTTTTATCATTTTTTTCTGGAGTCACTTTTTTTTCCGGAACAATGTAAGGTAATTTTTATTAGAATAACTATTATATTAAATTTAAAAGTTTTGAATAGTAACAAATTTTATAATCGTTATGAATAATAGTCGATTTTGTAATCTCATTTATTGATCAAAATTAAAGCTGGCTAATGTCCTTTTACTGATCTCAGCCCGATGTCATTTTACTGATCTCAGCCCGACGTCGTTTCACTGATATCGGCCCGACGACATCGGGCCTACATCATTTTGATGAGCAAAAACTACTTAGTCAAACTACCATCGGCCGCTGTAAAAGTCTACGTTGTGCCGACGTCGGGCCAACGTGTATATGTTATCTGGGATAGGAACAAACAATTGTGTCGATGATTCATCGGAAACTATAATGAGAAAACTTAAAGACATTGTTGAACGTATATCAAGTTTGAATCCACCATGGTCATTTTGTCTACGCCGACTTTTCGTTTTGATAACGCCAAAACCCAGCTGACTTCTAAACACTTAACAATTAAGTTTAAAGAATCATGTTTTAATATTAATGATAATTCTAACATCTCTAAAGAACATTTTGGAAAACAGGGTCTCCATCTAAACACGCGAGGTTCGGGTAGGTTAGCTATGAATTTTATTACTTATTTGAAGTCTATTTGATATTGACCCCCCCCAACCTTAATTTACGATATTTAAACAACCTTACTTAACCCCAATAAAGAAAAGTCATAGGTTGTAGGTCTGATTTAGATAAACTAAGTGCTAAATATCCTCACAATGCTAGTTTAGCTTTTATCAATATTAATTCTATCCGTAATAAGTTCACAGATATAACTAATTTTAATAATAAAACTGTTGATATGCTTATTATGGGTGAAACTAAAATAGATGACTCTTTCCCTATTAGCCAGTTTTTATATACAAGTTACAAAACTCCCTATCGCCTTGATACATCCATCAAAGTGGAAAACTTCTTGTGTATATTAATGATAACTTTACCTCAAAAAGATTAAATGGCGTAGTCATACCCACTGACGTTCAAATTTTACCTTTTGAAATTAAACTAAGAATGCGAAAATGGCTAATTATAGCTATTCATAAGCCTCCTAATCAGAAAAATGACTATTTTTTCAACCTTAGAGGGATACTTGATTTTTATTTTCAATCATATAATGATTATATAATTATTAAAGATTTTAATTTACAACCTCATGATAAAATAATGAACGAGTTTCTCTGCCTTTATCAAAGTAGTAATTTAATTAAAGCACCAACTTGTTTTAAATCGGTTGTAAAACCCATGTTTATAGATCTCATCAGGGCCGGTGCACCCTATAGGCGAACTAGGCAATTGCCTAGGGCGCCAAAGTTTAGGGGCGCCTAAAAATTGATAAGTTTTTTTATATGCTAACAAAAAACAACGCTTTTGCTCATTGAGCAATATGTACGTACATTTTACCGAACGCAATCTAAATCATAACAAATATGGCGGCGTCTTTACAATCAAAGTGATTTTCATAACAACTTTCAATAGTTAGTCGACTATATTCTTTATATAATTTATACTGACAATATATATATATATATATATATATATATATATATATATATATATATATATATATATATATATATATATATATATATATATATATATATATATATATATATATACATATAGATGAATAGTGACATTCTATATACTATTATACATTTATATTAAGTTTTAGACACTTATTAAGAAAAGTAAAATATTTTTTATATGAATATATAATAACTAGCTTAAATCTAGGGCTATTATATATTACGTATTATATTATTATTATACTTCACCATACGTATAACTTTGCTATACAAAATAAAATTTGAATTATTTAAACACAATGCATCTAGCAGGTTAAATTTTTTGTTGAGTCGCTTCTACAATATGTCTTGATCTGCACCAGCTAATTAAACATTGAAATCTCATTCATACAGCTAACTTCCATTTCCGTTTAAAAAAACACAAAAAATACTAGCAGGACGTATAACTTTGCCAAGTTGTTTTTTGTATAATACAGTTAAATGATAACCTGTTAAAACCTTACAGAGCTGTTCAGACCTGTTGGAAACTATAGCTAGCTATATATAATTTATTCTTGAAGCCAATCACAGAAGACCTATTAATGTATTAGTTAAACATTGCAACATTCATTTATTTTATTATTTTCTTGTTACATTTCAGATATGACTGAGAGAAAGAAGCCTTCAGGAGCTCAACATCGTAAACGAAAAGTTGAACAGCAGAGGGAACAAGAAAAACAGAAGGGTTCATTGCTAAAGTTTATATGCCGACAAGACTCTACTAAAGAGGATAGTAATGGTGGACAGATTCCCACTGATATGGAAGCTGAAGAAATATCTAATGTTGTTGATAATGATAATGTGATGATGAGTGAAACACTTTCTTATTCAACAGTTCCCGTTTCCCATGCAGATAATGGCCAATTGAATAATTCTCTCGAGGAACATGTACAGCAAGCAAGTGAAGAAAAAACGGTTAATGTTATTCCACAGGATAAGCACTTTGGCAATTAATTAGTAGACTAATTAATCATAATACACGTGCAATCATTGTAAAACGTGGACCTCAGCAAATAAAAGATATCAGTTTCCCAAATGATAAGAACAATCGAAAGTTTTCAGTATTTCACTACTTAAGAAAACTTCCTAATGGAGAAGAATTATGTCGCAGCTGGCTCTTGTATTCAGTATTAAAAGACTCAGTGTTTTGTTTCTGTTGCAAACTGTTCAGTATGAAAGCATAAGGCATATCATCACTAACTCATACAGGTTCAAGTGACTGGAAAAACATGGCGGCAATTCTTTCTTCCCACGAGAAAAGTCCTGAACATTTGCAGAACTATCAAAAGTGGAAAGAACTACATCACCGATTACAGAGGGATAGTACAATAGATGCAGAAATTTTGCGCAAGATGAAGAATGAAGAAAAGTATTGGCAGCAAATACTAAAGCGTTTAATAGCATTAGTGAGAGTTTTGGGTGAACAGAATCTAGCTTTTTGCGGTACAAATGAAACATTGTACAGTGCCAATAACGGGAATTTTTTAAAATTTGTGCAATACTTAGCCATTTTTGATCCATTAATGAACGAACATCTACGAAAGATATCAAATAAAGAGCTTCATACACACTATCTTGGCAAAGATATACAAAATGAACTTATTCAACTGTTAGGAAATGCTATTAAGAAAGAAATCATACAAACAGCAAATGCAATGAAATATTTTTCAATAGTTCTCGATGGTACTCCTGACTGTAGCCATGTTGAGCAAATGACAATAATTATTCGTTTTGTTAAAGTTGATTCATTGAAAAAGGAGTTTAGTATCAAAGAACATTTTTTAGGCTTTGTACCTTTAAAGAAAACAACTGGAGCCTATATGGCAGAAACGATAATACAACAACTAGAAGAAATGGAGTTACCTATTGATAATTTACGTGGCCAAGGCTACGATAATGGCGCAAATATGATAGGCAAAAATAATGGTGTTCAAAAGAAAATGTTAAACATTAATCCTCGAGCATTGTTTGTTCCTTGCAGCGCGCATACTCTTAATTTGGTTGTCAATGATGCTGCAAATTGTTGTCTAATGGCTACAAGTTTTTTTGATATTGTCCAACGTGTGTATGTATATTTTTCGTCTTCAACACATCGGTGGGTAGTTTTCACTAGTCATCAACCTACGTTAACTGTTAAACCTCTAAGTGAAACAAGATGGGAAAGCAGAATAGATGCTATAAAGCCTTTGCGATATGAACTTGGTAAAATATATAATGCACTGCTAGAAATAGCTGATGATACTTCTCTAACTGGATCCTCAGGAAGCACTGCACGCAGTGATGCTAAAGCACTTGCGAATAGTGTTGCAAAGTTTAAGTTCGTGGTTTCAATTGTTGTATGGTACAACATACTTTTTGAAATCAATATAACAAGTAAGCAGCTAAAGATTTGGATATTCATGCTGCTGTACAACAGTTACAACACACACAAGCCTATTTGGTTGACTGTAGGAGTGACATAGGTTTTGCAAGAATGCTAGTGGATGCTGCTGAAATTGCTAAGGATTTGGAGATACCACCAACCTTTGAGGCAGAACCACGATTACGGCGGAGAAAAAAGCAATTTGCATATGAAGCTGAAGATGAGCCTGTGCAAGATCCAAAACAAAATTTCAAAGTGAATTTTTTCTTTGCTATACTTGACACAGCAATAAGGTCGGTTGAAGAAAGGTTTGAACAAATGAGAATAATTGAATCTGTATTTGGTTTCTTATATCATATTCATGGTCTACAGAGTAAAACTTCACAAGAAATATTGGAATGTTGCATGAAACTAGAATCTGCTTTACAACATGGTGATAACAGAGATTTAGTTGCATCAGATTTGTGTGGCGAACTACAGTCTATTGCATTAAGAAACAAAGTCTCCTCAAGATGTTTTTCGATTTATTCTTTGCCAAAACTTGGAAGACAGTCTACCCAACCTTTGTATTGCTCTTCGTATTTTGCTGACATTACCTGTTTCTGTCGCTAGTGGAGAGCGTAGTTTTTCCAAACTAAAATTGATAAAGACATACATTCGATCATCCATGTGCCAAGACAGATTGGTTGGGTTGGCAACTCTTTCCATTGAGCACGAACTTGCAGACAAGCTGGACCTGAAGGAGCTTGTGATCGATTTTGCCCAGAAAAAGGCACGCAAAGTACAGTTTTGATATTTTTAAATAAATAAATACTTACCTGGTGTTTTCACTTTATTTTGCATTTTATTTTGATTTTTTTACGTAAAAGGGGTGCGACCTTTGAAGTTTTGCCTAGGGTGTCATAACCCCTTTGCACCGGCCCTGGATCTCATCCTAACAAATAGAAAGACTTGTTTTCGACACTCTAAGAGTATCTGTACGGGTGTTAGTGACCATCACGATCTTATTTTTACAATGCTTAGGGCTACCTTCTGCAAGTTACCTCTAAAAAAATTAAGTTACAGGTCTTTTAAAAACTTTTCAAATGTTATGTTTTCTGAAATAATAAAAGTTAAATTGAGATTTTGTAATGACATTAATGAGTTTAACGTTATCTTTAGCAACTATTTAAATCTATATGCTCCATCGAAAACTAAAATCTAAAGAGGTAACGATAAGCCATTTATAACTAACAATTTTAGAAAAGCAATTATATTTCGCTCAAAATTAAAAAAAAAAATCCAGATTAAAAAATCAGACATTTCTTTGTCTCTTTATAGGAAACAAAGAAACTACGTAGTGAACTTGAATAAAAAAGCAAAGAAAATATATTTTAGTGAGATAAATTTATTCAAGCCTTTCACTACATCTCTATGGAAGATATACAAGCCTTTTCTTTCTAATAAATCTGGTAATTCGAACGATCACATAACGTTGATTGAACATGGGGAAACTATTTCGGATAACTTTCAAGTTTCAAACATTTTCAACTTATATTTCACAAATGTTGCGTGTGAATATATTCATTCGTGCGTGAATGAAATATGAAATTGTTAATATGAAATGAGATTTCATATTAACAATCTAACTTATATATACGAATACATTATAATAAGATATAGTCTATAGACTATATCTTGTTATACTGTATTCGCACGTTTAAAAATAAATTTCAAGTTAGATTGTTAATATAAAATCTCTTGCAAACAAAAAATGTTTATAACTTAAGTCATATATTTTAAAAGCAATTTAATTTTTTTAATCAATTATAATAAAAATAAATAAATTACTTAAACAAAATTAAATTTTTATTCAAAAAGAAAAAAAAAAAAAATGTGCCAATAGATAAAATAAACATTTAGAAATACTTCTTTTTTTAATTAAAAGAATGCCTGCCCAAGCATGGCCTACACGGGCCTGATTTGTTGCATTTTCCGTAAAAAATTAAGAGGCCAGTTTTTTTACGGCTAACGTTTGAAAGCTGGAATTCTTGGAAGAAACATGATTCCATAGCGTAAAGTTAGGTGACGTAATGTTTATTTTTTGGCGAATAATTAAGTATTTAAGATGCAAAAAGCATTGTTAAATTATTTGTTTTATGCAATAGTTTTATGTGAATATTTAATTATTGGTCATGCGTGGTAAAATGTTTTTATCAAATAGTAACTCAATACAAAGTTTGTGAAACATGATTTTATACTATAATACAAATGTTTTTATACAGTTTATATTTAAATCATGATATAAGAATATTATTTGTGATCATAATATCAAAGTGAACCGCGATTGTTAAGATATTTGGATAATAAAGAAAACTAAATCATAACATGTTTACTGTAGTTGGTTTGTTTATTAGTCATTTTGTGAGGATGGCTAAGGAATTATTTCTAAAGTTATAACAAGCACATTCTTGAGTTTTATCTTTATTTTTTAATCTTAGTGCTTCTACTATGATAAGAAACTTTATGCAAACAACAACAACAAATAAAAGCAATAGGAGCAACATTTATTTTATAATAACAGTAATAATAATGAAAATAATAACAATAAAAATACCTATAATATCATAAATAATAAAATCATAATATCATTATATTATCCAGGTTTATACAATTGTAATTGCTATCTCTAAAGCTATGGTGATGGTTTATATTTTAGCCAATTTAAAAATCAACCTGTTATACACAGGGTATATACAAATATACCTGAATTCTGGTGTATTTTTGAAGAACATTTTTTTTCAAAAAGTATTAAAGATTTTCAAATTAAAGAAAAATATGCATCATGTTTTTGATAATATTTTTGTGTATCTTTTTACGTAACATGGTTTGATCAATTTTTACAATGTTCCCCATCTAAATTGGCAGGAAAAAAGTTTATAAAAAGTATACAGTTTTATAGCAAGTTAACAAATCTACTTTTAACGAAGCTTAAAATAAAAAGTTTGCAAAATAGTGTATGTATAGATTTATGTTCTGTTGTTGTTCATTTACTATAAACAAGTATATGAATTTGGAAATGGAAATTTAGTTCAAATGGAAATTTAGTTCAACGCCAATAGCAATTGTGATAAAGTAATTTAAGATCATTTAAGGTTCAGTCAAGCAAGCACCTGAAAATGGTCAACTTTTTGTTTAATATAGATTGCTGTTCCAAATACAAATTGCAGATATGATCCAATATTTTATGTCAAGCAAGGTTCAAATTTTAAACCAAACAAACTTACTATCTGTTGATCTTCTACTTTGTTTTGAAGTTATGAGTTCAGATAGATATGTAAAACATTTAGTTTACAAGCTTTTAAACTCAAACTAGTAACCAATGATGTAATTTAAAAGTTTTATTTTTACAAATTTTAATTTGAAAGGAGAACAACATACATTATTAAATAAGCTATAATTTGAATGCAATTATTTAAATATAGGGAAGATCAATCAATCACCCCTTTATATGTATAAATAAATATATATATATATTTTTTATATATGTAAGTTTTGATTTATATGCAAGTCTGTACAAAGATATAATTTTATATAGCTTTATATTTTATTAAAAGTATGTTTCAATTATATTTTAATATGTTTTAATTTATGTTTTTAATATTTTTTTTTTTTTTTTTTTTTGATACAAAAGATGTTTTGTTCAAAGCAGATCAGCCAACCATATAAAGGACAGATAAAACTGACCCTCATCTCAGGCTTAAGGGTCAATTAATGCAATTTTTCAAAAGCTTCTTTTGAAGTATGCAACCCTGATGTCTTGATGGGCACAATCACATGGAAGTAATGTAATATTAAATTAAATATTAAAGCATAAAATTTGCATTTACTTTACTTTGCTCTAACATCAAGTAATAATAAAAGTCCCAAACCATATTCAATTAAAAATAAGTTTTTAACTTGTAAGTGAATCAAATTAAATTAAACATTTTATTTTTGTTTTTTTAGATGTTACATATAGTGTAATACAAAAGGGATAAAATAACATCAAACAAAGTTGCTTGATAGGATATACTGGATCCATCCACTACTTCTAAAAAATCCTTAAAAACCACTATATAAAATAAAAAACAAGAGAATAGTAAAAGAATTCCTTTTATTTACATATTTAAGCAAACTGTTGATATAAAATTTTAACAAAAAAACATTTTAATATTTTTTTATAAAACAAAATAGGGGTAATTTCTACACGTTTTCATAAAAAATTCGAACGTACTTGAACGTTTTGTGTTAGCGGGGAGGTCATACATAACATTCAGATCGCAAACTTTAGGGTCATCCACATTTACCCCACACGTTGTGCATAAAATTGGTTTGTTTGCGGCATCACTCATTGTTGTTTTTTTCATGTCTTTTCCCTTCCCTTTACCTGAAATGAAGACAATTTTCGGCTTGGTTTTAGCCTAATTTTCTTTAGTGAGCCTAGCAATGCATTTATCTGAAGTGAGGCTTTCACCACACTATTTTTTTATGGCCTTTCCTCACACTATTTTTTTATGGCCTTTCCTAGTTTTTCATGAAAAGGTGTGAGATTTGACCCATGACTAAAATTGTCTTATTTGGTTGAAATTATGAATAATTATAAATCTAATACCATATACAGATATTAATACTACTAAATTAACATGTTGCCTAAGGATATTTACAAGCAAAGGTTCAAATTGTGAAATTAAAAATTTTATCATCTCTGTACACATTAAACACATCCAAAAAATAAATGATGATTAATAAAAGTATGATGATCAATAAAAATATATTTTAAAATGTATTTTAAAGTACATATATGGTACTTAGATTGAAGATGATTTTGGATTTCCAAAAAAAGTTTCATAAACAAATTTCTAAATCAGTATGGGTACAGGAAGCATATACTTAGTGAGAAACAGAAAGTTGGCAATCAAAAACATGAGCTAAAAGTGGTTCAAGTTTTTTTAGTTTATCTGTATTGCTCCATATCTTTTTAGAGGGTGGAATTTCCCCGGGGATAGAATTACCCCAGTCTAGCCTACAATTGTTTGAAATAAGTTTATATTATTTGCGTATTTAATTGCGACATTATTTTTGCCAATGCATTGTTTAATTTGATAAAGTTAGTACATTAACTATTTCTATTTGGTAACATTATGTTACTAATAACACAATTCAACTTTTTATCGTATTCCATAAATTTTTTTTTTTATTATTGAAAGTAGCTTATAATTTTCAAAACTTTTAAATCATTTGCTAACATCTTTTAAAGAAATCTTTGTTGCAAGCTTTAACATTTTAATAAGGTACAAAGTAGGCGCTTTTTATCCCTTAACTTAAATGGAACTAAGTTTCCGATTTTGGCAACCTGGTTAATAATACTGATTCATGGTGCAAATAAACCAGGTATATTTATATATTAGTGGTTAGAGAGCTTGCTTTATAAGCCGGGGATCTGGGTTTGAAATGAGTCTTTAATATATTTCGCGTCACAGTAAGGAAGGGCGCGTGAACTTCCTGGTTAAATCCATTTCCGCGGTGCTCTGTGACAAGACCGTTAGGACATCTTGGGGCACATAAATAACAAAATTTGATTGCGATTCAATAAATATTTTAAATTTTGATTGCGTAAATGCCACTAGCTGAACTAAAATTAATGTCATTGTTGTTTTACATAGCCCATAGATTAGTAAAAAATTTTTTAAAACGTCCATAAATTCAAATAAATGTCATTAAGTAAAATTTAATGAGGTTCGTAGTCAGCTAAAGTTTGAAGTTGGCTGGCCGTATATATACTACTTACTTCCTTTTCAGCTTAAGTTCTCTTCGTCTTTTTAATATTTCACTACAGATCTCTCGTATAAACTATATATTCAGTCCATGGGAAAGTCACTAGTAATACCTACTATGACCGGACCCGGGTCTTGTTAAGTCTGTTCAACATAGACCATTTCTAAATTATTTGTTTGGCCTGTTTATTTCATTAATTTTTAGTAAACGGTCATTTGCTATCATTTACTAAAAATTCCTTTTGTTACTCAAAATTTAATTTCCTAAATATTTTAACACAAGTAAAGAGGTTCCTCCCCTCTTTTTGCTTTAATGGTGGCCTGGTGAGTAGGTTTTTTTTTATTAAGAGTAATCAAGTTTTTCTTTAACTAAAATAATAAAAATGTAAAACACTGATTTACATTTTTATTTACAAACAATTATTCTTTCCTCAAAAGTGTTGCAAATGCAGACTAAGCTAACTAATTAGTTAAATATGTAAATAAAACATAAGTAAATAAAAAAAGTGAACTAATTGCATATATATAAATATATCTTTTTACCTAACAAAAACTTAACGGGTGGTTACTAAAAGTCCGGACAAACTTTCAAGTGCAATTACTCCCAAAGTTTTTATGGTAGAGATTAAATAAAACTATCATTAAAAAGAGTTTTTAGTTATTTATTTTAATTAAGTTTGTCTTCAACCAGTCTGTTTCTTCGGATTCGGCCAACTCTAACACGAGTTGACCCAAAAAGTGAAAATACAAGGTTAAGGTCAATTTTTTTCAGGCAAAGCTTTATTCTGGTTCGTAGTTGTTTCACGTCTTTTGCTTGCCAGTTACTCTCATACACTTTGCCTTTCAAAATAGCCCAAAAGTCTTCGATTGGGCGACACGCCGGTACGGCTGGCGGATTGTCAACTTTTTTGATAAAATTGATGTTATGAGTCTCGTAGCAGCTGGTCACGGTTTTGGCATAATGCGATGAAGCCAGGTCCGGCCAAAATATGTAATTACCATCGGCATGATAAGCGTTGATGAACGGCACTAATCTTTTCCTAATACAATTCATTTCATAGATGGCTTTATTGACTGCAAGGCCGCTGGGTATAAAAAATGGTTTTGAAACACCTTTGTCAGAAGCGGCCAGCCAGACAAGCACCTTGGGTTCAAACTTGCGCTTTTTGCGATATTTAACACTTGGTGGAGTCTTGTCTCTGTTGCTAGAATAGTAGGTGCTGTTTCCATTAATTGTTGAGTGTGACAGCGTGAAGTAAGACTCATCGTCAAGGATGACCGATTTTCCTTTAAAAACGCGATAAAGACGATCAATGCCAGTTTTGATTTGCTCATTCTGGTTCTCTTGTCGATGAGGTATACCCTGTTTTGTATAACCTTTGATGTCAGTGTACTTGGCAAGAGTTTTAATGATATGTGAATGACTGCATCCAAATTTTCGACCAGCTTGCCTCGTCGAAACTCGGTCACTGTTATCAAATATGGCTTTCAGGCGCTTGATCCTCTTAGGGGTCATGATTTTGGCCACACGACCACTTCCTTGCACTCTTTTGTGCCCAGAATCATTCTCAACACGTTTGATTATATCATAGATAGTACTTCTTGGGATTTTTTCAGCATTGAAGTGAGCTACTGTGAACTTTTTACCTTGCAATTTATTATTCAAATAGAACTCGTAAATCCGTTTTCTTACCTCTTCTTGCTTGGTCATCATTATTTTTTTAATTATTATTAATTATCTAAAAAAAAAAAAAAAATTAACTTATAGAGAATTAAATAAGCTATAAAATGGATATAAATATGAATAAAAAAGATTTAGCTTGTGGCATTTAAAATTCAGTTAAAGTTTGTCCGGATTTTTAGTAACCACCCGTTACAAAAGGAAATCAGGTTTTTTTTATAAATCTTATCAATGTGTCATAACGTAAATCTAAAATAAAAAGTAATGGAATTACATCATAATTACAAAAAAAACACCAAATTTCAAAATAAGTAACTATAAATTGGTAAATCGATTTCATAAAAATTGAAAATCGATTTACCTATTTATAGTTACTTTAATTGCAGTTAATATAAACTTTTATCAAAAATGTAACTATAAAATCTGTTTTGAAGTACAAAAGGATTACCAAAAAAAAATTCAAACTAAGATTTAAATTGCACTTTTAGCAAAATGTTGTCTTTGTTTTTAGTAAATAAATAAAAGCAGTAAATTCCAATAATGAAACTACCTATGATTCATTTTTAACAATAGACGCCAACGGGAAGGTAAGCCAAGCTGTCTATCAACACAAAACATCACAACAGTAACATTACAGCAATAACACATAGCAATAAAATCCAGTGAAAATAACAAACTAAATTAAAATATAAAAGGCAAAATTAAAAAAATATTTTAGAGTTATATTTATCTTTTTATTAAACTTTAAATAAGGTATATTTGTTTTTATATTCAACATTAGTTATTCAATTATTTCAAATTTAGGACATTAAAGCACGCTAGATTTAAAGATTTAGGTTGCATACTCTCTCATACACATTACGCTAAACATTAACAGACATTATTATGTGTTTTCAGAATAATTTAAAAAGGCTAGACAACACAACCTAGCTCTAAAGCAGTAACACTGCCTAGCATTAATTGCTGCTAAGTCACACCTCTGCTATAAGTACACCTCTAGGCTGGCAAGGTTATCAAACTTGCTCAACATAATACCAAGCCATACCACTTTAAAAACATAGAAACAACTCAATATAAACATATATACAGCTATAAACAAATATGACTTTATATAAGACATATAAGCACATTTTATATTAAATGACAGATATATTTATCAAAAACTATGGAAAAAATAATAATAATAAATAAAGTTACACATGCTCACAACCTTTAACAGTAAATTTTCGAAATAAAAATCTAAAGATAATTAATTAAGAACAATAGAAAGTAAACACTATTTGTGTTCACTTTTTACCTTGATAGGATGTTTAACAATTGTGAAAAACAAACTATTAAATGCTCTAGTTTTTGAACATGTAACATATAGTTGGCTATGAGAGAAACAC